CCCATCAAAGAGATAGCAAAAACATTAGGCGTGGCCAAAACAACTGTTTGGAACATTCTTAAAAAGAAGGAACGCACCGGTGAGCTCAGCAACACCAAAACACCCAGAAGACCACGGAAAACAACTGTGGTGGATGATCGAAGAATTCTTTCCCTGGTGAAGAAAACACCCTTCACAACAGTTGGCCAGATCAAGAACACTCTCCAGGAGGTAGGTGTATGTGTGTCAAAGTCAACAATCAAGAGAAGACTTCACCAGAGTGAATACAGAGGGTTCACCACAAGATGTAAACCATTGGTGAGCCTCAAAAACAGGAAGGCCAGATTAGAGTTTGCCAATTGACATCTAAAAAAGCCTTCACCGTTCTGGAACAACATCCTATGGACAGATGAGACCAAGGAATCAACTTGTACCAGAGTGATGGGAAGAGAAGAGTTTGGAGAAGGAAAGGAACTGCTCATGATCCTAAGCATACCACCTCATCAGTGAAGCATGGTGGTGGTAGTGTCATGGCGTGGGCATGTATGGCTGCCACTGGAACTGGTTCTCTTGTATTTATTGATAATGTGACTGCTGACAAAAGCAGCAGGATGAATTCTGAAGTGTTTTCAGGCAATATTATGTGCTCATGTTCAGCCAAATGCTTCACAACTCATTGGACGCCACTTCACAGTGCAGATGGACAATGACCCAAAGCATACTGCAAAAGCAACCAAAGTTTTTTAAGAGAAAGAAGTGGAATGTTCTGCAATGGCCAAGTCAATCACCTGACGTGAATCCGATTGAGCATGCATTTCACTTGCTGAAGACAAAACTGAAGGGAAAATGCCCCAAGAACAAGCAGGAACTGAAGACAGTTGCAGTAGAGGCCTGGCAGAGCATCACCAGGGATGAAACCCAGCGTCTAGTGATGTCTATGCGTTCCAGACTTCAGGCTGTAATTGACTGCAAAGGATTTTCAACCAAGTATTAAAGTAAAAGTTTGATTTATGATTATTATTCTGTCCCATTACTTTTGGTCCCTTAACAAGTGGGAGGCACATATGCAAACTGTTGTAATTCCTACACCGTTCACCTGATTTGGATTTAAATACCTTCAAACTAAAGCTGACAGTCTGCAGTTAAATCACATCTTGTTCGTTTCATTTCAAATCCATTGTGGTGGTGTATAGAGCCAAAAATGTTAGAATTGTGTCGATGTCCCAATATTTATGGACCTGACTGTATGTATTCTTCTCTATAACCAGTACAAACATAGAAGTTGTACAAAATGTGGGAAAATTGGATGTATTTTACTTTATTTATTTTTGTTTGTTTAATCGATCTTGTAGATTGGTGGCCTACTATATACTCCTGAGGAAATTTAAACCATTTCAATGAAATACAATGAGTTAGAGCACAGCATGTGTCACGATCCACCCGGCGGTATCTCTAGCAACCCACAGAACAGGATTCCCCAGGACGCGGGGTCTAAGCCCCAATCTGCTTATTCACCAGGGCCCCTGATGGTGGGGATGGACTTGGAGCAGACTGAGACCAGGTCGCGACCCCTGAATGTACCCGACTGTGGTAGAGGGAACCACCGGAGGTATGTATCAGAAGAGAGCCTGATGTGAAGAGGCTGGCAGACCTGGGCAGTGATGACCGGATCCGTGCAGGATGAATGGATGACAGAGTACGTGTAGCATAGTCAGGCAGGCCAGGTCGGTAACAGCAGAGGCAGAATGGTACAGAGCAGCGGACAGAGAGTAGTCAGGTCACAAGCCAGGTTTCAGCAACAGGAGGTCAGGTAATCAGGAGTAAGCAAAAGAATAGTCAGACGAGCCAGGGATCAGAGCAGGAGACAGTCAGCAGAGGTCAGGATCAAGCAGGGTCGGCAACAAGATATCTCACGCAGGAACACAGACGAGCAGGGAACATGGAATGAAGACCATACGGCAATGTGAGTGCCCGCAAGGTCCCTGTGCTCAAGAAAGCACATGTCCAGGTCATTCTGAAGTTTGCCACTGAACATCTGAATGATGCAAAGGAGGACTGGTTGAAAGTGTTGTGGTCAGATGAGACCAAAATCGAGCTCTTTGGCATCAACTCAACTCGCCGTGATTGGAGGAGCAGGAATGCTGCCTATGACCCCAAGAACACCATCCCAACTGTCAAACATGGTGGTGGAAACATTCTACTTTGGGGGTGTTTTCCTGGACAGGACAACTGCACTACATCAAAGGGACAATGGACAGGGAAATATACTGTCAAATCTTGGGTGAGAACCTTCTTCCCTCAGCCAGGGTATTGAAAATGGGTCATGGATGGGTGTTCCAGCATGACAATGACCCAAAACACATGGTCAAGGCAACAAAGGAGTGGCTCAAGAAGAAGCACATTAAGGTCCTGGAGTGGCCTAGCCAGTCTCCAGACCTTAATCCAATTGAAAATTTGTGAAGGGAGCTGAAAGTTCGAGTTTCCAAACGTCAGCCACCAAACCTTAATGACTTGGAGAGGATCTGCCAAGAGGAGTGAGCCAAAATCCCTTCTGAGATGTGTGCAAACCTGGTGGCCAACTACAGGAAATGTCTGACCTCTGTGATTGCCAACAAGGGATTTGCCACCAAATACTAAGTCATGTTTTGTGAAGGGGATCAAATACTTATTTCCCTCATAAACATGCAAATCAGTGCATAATTTGTTAGACATACATTTCTTTTGAATTTTTTTTGTTGGTATTCTGTCTCTCAGTGTTACAATACACCTACCATTCGATTTTTAGACTGATCATTTCTTTGTGAGTGGGCAAACATTCAAAATCAGCAGGGGATCAAATACTCATTTCCTTCACTGTAAATATACATGGTATGTAACACACATATATATGTACTGTATGTATATATATATATATATATATATATATTATATATATATATATTGTGGGGTTAGCTCAGGTGGGGGATCTCCTTCCCTGGGAAAAAAGATAGACCGCACAGCAGGCTTTCTTCCAAATCTGACTGGTTGTCAGTTTTATTTAAAAGGTTTGCAAAAATATCAAAATAAACAAAACATCAAAATAAACCCTGGCCATCCAGACACTAACTAAACAGAAGACTTTTCCTCTCTCAGAGGTGAAGGGCTTCCCCCTGTCACCCAAAACAAAACAAAAGCAAACCTTTTCTTGTAGGTATAGTACACACACACACACAGCTCTCTCAGAATACCTCTCTGAGTCCCAGGCCACGAGCGACTCCTTACTCCAGCCCTGCCCTTTTTATATCACCTGTTGGTGGTCATCAGTGGAGCCCAAACTCCGGTCCAGACCCACCTCCTCAACTGTGGCCCCAAAAACCCGGAGTGGACTCCACCTAAACTTCCAGGTATGAGCGTATGCGAGGTGACACATAGTGTCCCTCTATCACCTCGCTGTTCATACTGTCACATATCCCCCCCCCTCTGCTCAAGCCCCTGTGGCTGAGCAACTGTCCCAACCAGGCAATGGACCCAGGAAAGGGCATCTACATTACTTTGCAGTTTCCCCGCTCTGTGTTCCACTGTGAATTTGAACACTTGTAGCGCGAGAAACCACCTTGTCACTCGACTGTTTTTCTCCTTATTATCACACATCCATTTGAGCGGGGCATGATCAGTAACCAACTTGAACTGTCTTCCTAACAGGTAATATTTCAGGGACTCCAAGGCCCATTTGATGGCCAAACATTCCTTCTCCACAATGGCATAGTTTCTCTCATGTTTGTTGAGCTTTCTACTTAGGAAGACCACGGTATGCTCCTCTCCTTCTCTGATTTGGGACAATACAGCACCTAGTCCCACATCAGAGGCATCCGTCTGTACCACAAACTCTGTTGTGAAATCTGGGGTCACAAGCACAGGTTGATTACAGAGAGCTTGTTTCAGCCTTTGAAATGCGGTCTCCGCCTCGGGATTCCACTTAACCATGACCGACCCCCTACCTTTTGTCAGATCTGTCAGTGGGGCTGAAATGGTGGCAAAATTGGGAATAAACCGCCTGTAGTATCCCGTGATTCCAAGAAATGCCCGGACTTGCTTTTTATTTACAGGTTGGGGCCACTTTTGAATCGCCTCAATTTTATTGATCTGAGGCCTAATGACACCTCGACCAATGATGTATCTTAGATATTTGGCCTCCTCTAAGCCTATGGCACACTTTCTGGGGTTGGCGGTAAGACCTGCTTCCCTCAGCGAATCTACTACCGCTTGCAAGCGGGACAAATGAGACTCCCAGGCTGGACTGTGGATGACGGCATCATCCAAATAGGCAGCTGCGTATTGGCGATGTGGTCTCAACGTCTTGTCCATCATCCTTTGGAATGATGCAGGAGCCCCATGCAAACCAAACGGCATCCGCTTATACTGAAAGGACCCCTTGGGGGTAGAGAATGCCGTCTTTTCTTTTGCAGCTTCCATTAAAGCAGGGGTGTCCAAACTTTTTTGGAAGAGTGCCAGATTTGATGAAGTGAACATGTGCGAGGGCCGACCATTTTGCCCGACATTCTGATGAACCATTAAAATTAAATGCAAATGAACTATTTTATGCAAATGTTTATTGAAAACGGCATACTTTTCATTTTGTGACTTGGATGACAAATCTAAACAGGTGTTAAATCACTCTACCAGCACAGGGAGAAGGAAAGCCCAAATCTCGCGAGATCTCGGAGGTCGCGAGATTTGGGCTTTGTTTCTCCTTGCACTGTCTGATGACGTCAAGCGATCCTGAGCACCAATCCATTATAGCCCAAATTGTTACCGTATTTTTCGCTCCATAAGATGCACCTGACCATAAGACGCACCTAGGTTTTAGAGGCGAAAAACAGGAAAAAAAAATTTCTGAACCAATGGACTGCAGACATAGTACAGGAGATGACCAGAGACTGCGGACACAGTACAGGAGATGACCAGAGACTGCGGACACAGTACAGGAGATGACCAGAGACTGCGGACACAGTACAGGAGATGACCAGAGACTGCGGACACAGTACAGGAGATGACCAGAGACTGCGGACATAGTACAGGAGATGACCAGAGACTGCGGACACAGTACAGGGGATGGCCAGAGACTGCGGACACAGTACAGGGGATGACCAGAGACTGCGGACACAGTACAGGAGATGACCAGAGACTGCGGACACAGTACAGGAGATGACCAGAGACTGCGGACATAGTACAGGAGATGGCCAGAGGCTGCGGACACAGTACAGGAGAGGACCAGAGACTGAGGACACACAGTACAGGTGAGGACATACTACAGGAGATGACCAGAGACTGCGGACACAGTACAGGAGATGACCAGAGACTGCTGACACAGTACAGATGACCAGAGACTGCGATGACCATTCACAAAGCGAAGCGCATGCGCAGTGGGCACCCGGCTGTCACAGAAGCCAGCGCTGGAAGACTGTGCAGCGCTGGAGCGAGGAACAGGTAAGGCCCTGCAGGAGACAACAGCTGAGCGGCCGGCCCGGTATTCTGACATGGTGGCGGCAGAAATACCGGACCGGCCGCTTTATATTCGCTCCATAAGACGCACTGACATTTTCCCCCCTTTTTTTGGGGGGGAAAAAAACTGCATCTTATGGAGCGAAAAATACGGTAAATGGTAGCCCCAGTAGTAATTCCCTGCGCACCACCTGGGATCCCTCGGCCCACGTTCCGGACCCCACAGATGAGCTGCCCAATATATAACTTACGGCCCTCCACTAGTGATTCTGCGAACGCCACTGAGGACTCCAGGGATCTGTCGAGCGGGAATGACATCATCAGCTGGCACACAGAGAAGGAAAGCCCAAATCTCACGAGATCTCGGACGTCGCGAGATTTGGGCTCTCCTTCCTGCACCAGCTGATGTCAAGAGATCGCTGGAGTCCTCAGTAGCTTGCAAGGAATCACTACCGGGGGCCGTAAGTTATATATTTGGGTAGCTCACCTGTGGGGCCGTTTCAGTCCGGAACGCGGGCCGCAATTGGCCCGCGGGCCGGACTTTGGACATGCCTGCATTAAAGGAATCTGCCAATAGCCTTTGGTCAAATCTAAGGTGGTTATGTATCGAGCCGTTCCCAACCTGTCAATGAACTCATCCACCCGAGGCATCGGCTATGCATCAAATTTAGACACACTGTTCAGTTTCCTGAAATCATTACAGAAACGAATTGTTCCATCTGCTTTTGGGACCAACACTATGGGACTTGACCACTCACTGTGAGATTCCTCGATCACTCCCAACTCTAACATGTCCTTTATTTCCTTTGCCACCGCTTCCCGCCTGGCCTCGGGTATTCTATAGGGCTTTACGTTTACGCGGACCCCGGGCTGGGTAACTATGTCATGCTGTATGACCGTGGTCAGTCCAGGTAGGTGAGAGAAGAAATCTCCATTCTTTCTCACAAACTCCTTAACGTCATTCTGTTGGACTACTGACAAGGTTTCAGTTATAGGTACCTGAGGGGCCACAGGGACCACTAACTGTTCTACCACCTCCTCCCCTTGCTTCGCCACTTGGTATAGCAAGCTATTTTTGAGAGCCATGTAGGGAAAAGACACCCCTACATCATTTTCAACTGGTTCCCCATCAACCATTTTAATATTTTCTCTGGCTCTATTGAGTGTGGAATCTTTCAGCTGTTCCGTACAGAAATCCTCCTTTCTGACCTCCAGGTCAGGCACGCATTTTCACATTGCATAGGTTCATCATTTATTTCAAATATTTTTATTGAAAAAAAGTTTTAACTGCAATACAAATATATAACCATGAGAAATGACAGGTACACATATACAGATAAAAAAAAAAAAAACACCATGAGATGGGTAGAAAGGGGTTGCCAGTCCCCACCGATCGGCCGGGGAACTTAATATCGTAGTCATATTTACATGAGAGGTATGCTCATTATTATGTGGACCATGTTGGAGTATATGAGTCTTAAGTGTGGATATAAGGTTAAGTAGGGAGTAGAAAGAGAAAGGAAGAGGGGGGGGGGGGGGTAAGGCACCATTATTCTTATCTTAGAGTTATGTGTCTAACAAAGTTAAAGTTAGTAATCAATCAGGTAATTGAACAGGTGGGGTGATTTAACCATCGAGACCAGTGTAATAAAAATTTATGGTACGTGGAATTTCGAATGGCCGTTCTTCGTTCCATCTCACACTGCAAATTAAGGTCAGTCAGCAGGCGTGACAGCAGGGGAGGGGACGAGGATCGCCAGAGTTTGGTGATGTTGATCTTAGCCGCCGCTAGGATGTGTAAGATAATAGTGTGAGAGCTTGTAGGGAATTTATCAATATTTATATGAAGGAGGGCTAGGGCAGGATTTGGAGCCACAGGTACGTCTGTAATTGAGGAGATCAATTGAAAAACTTTATTCCAGTAAGATTTAAGAGATTTGCATGCCCAAAGCACATGGAGAAGTGGGCCAGTTTCCCCACAATGTCTCCAGCACGCCTGGGATTGTTGGGGGTAATATATAGATAATTTGACGGGAGTTAGATACCATTGGTGGAGGATTTTCAGGTATGATTCCCAGTGAGCACTACATTTGGACGCTTTATAAGTAATGTTGAAAATCGTTTCCCAGGGTGTGGGCCTGTCGGGAGTAATAAGGTCTTTTCCCAATTAATCAAGGATGAAGAAGATGTTGTGAATTGCGCTACTGTTAGAAGTGTATAAAAAGTAGATATTCCTTTCTTTGGGATATATGGACCTATTTAGGAATTGATGTGCAGTAGCCGGGATTTCTATTTTGAGTGGTATGTTTGTTTTTATAAAGAGAGTGAATTATTCGCATATAGGTGAATTGGTCCTTATCTAGGAGATGAAATTTCTTTTGGAGAGTCTGAAATGAATCTGGGTTTTGGGTGCTGAAAAGGTCTTGGATATATTGTATACCCAGCATTTTCCATGATGCCAAGTTTAAGTGTGGGGATGCAAAATGTAAGGATGAAATCGGAGTAAGGATGTGAAGATTGTCCTTGCGAGAGCAAGTGAGGGTCAAAAAATCGTGCCAAGCTAACAAAGAAGCTTGCACGCATGGGTGTGTATGTAAAGATTTATGCCACTTTACAGAAGGCACAAATAAGGCGTCTGTCAATGAGCCTGGTGTGTGCATGGAAGCCTCCATGACAGTCCAAGTTTTATCTGGAGACGGGTGCCACCAGAAGAAGAGCTGGTCTAACAGTACGGCTTGATAGTATGATTTTATATGCGGGAGGCCAGCTCCACCTCTGGTGGGTGGACGTATTAAGAGGTTTGTGGTGCATCTAGGGCGTTTAGAGTTCCATATGAACTTATTCAGGATTTTTTGGAGTTTAGAAAAGAAGGTGGAGGAGACTGGAATAGGTAGAGTGCGAAAAATATATAATATTTTGGGCAGTATGCACATTTTTATAGTTGCTATGCGGCCTAGAATTGAAAGGGTATTTGAGCGAAAGCTTTTGAGCTCTTGGGGGATTGTGTCAAGTAATGGCTTGAAGTTAGTTGTATATAATTGGCTGAGTTTGGTGGTTAGCTTGATCCCCAAAAAGGGTATGTTATGTTTTTCCCATTTAAAAGGAACCGTTTAGTAAGTAGTTTCTGTGTTGCAGTGGGTGTAGAAAGGTTGAGGATAGAAGACTTGGGTTCATTGAGTTTATAGTATGAGACTGCTGCATAGGCATGTATATGAGTGCGAATTGCTGTAAGCGATTTGTTGGGGTTTGTAATCATTAGGATAATGTCATCCGCAAAGAGGCAAATTTTGTGTTCACTCTTAAGAAAATTGACTCCAGTGAAATTTGGATCATTTCTGAGATTGGATGCTAGTGGTTCAATAAGTAACGCAAAAATTATGGGTGAAAGAGGGCATCCTTGTCTGGTGCCATTCGATATTGGGAAAGGTTGTGAAAGCGTGCCATTTGTAAGTACTCTAGCAGAAGGTTTGGAGTATAGGGAAAGAATCGCTGATAATAACCAGTCTGTTATTCCATATTTCTGTAGTGTATGTGTCATAAATTGCCAATGGATTCGATCAAACGCTTTTTCCGCGTCAAGCGAAAGTAGGAGTGATGGTTGTTTGTCAAATTCAAGGTGGTGAAGTAGTGATAGAATTCGTCTAGTCGCGTCGGGAGCCTGTCTCCCAGGGATGAATCCCACTTGGTCAGGATGGATTAAGGTAGGAAGGTATGGGAGTAATCGTTGAGCTATGATCTTGGCATATATTTTAAGGTCTGTATTAAGTAAAGAGATCGGTCTATAATTCTGGACTAACTGAGGGTCTTTTCCTGGTTTCGGGATAGTGGTAATTATAGATTGTAGCATATCAGAGGGAAATTCTCCGTTAGAAGCTACATGGTTATAAAGGGCGGAGAGATGAGTTGTAAGGTTGGGTGCGAACGATTTGTAATATTCATTAGTAAAACCGTCGTTTCCTGGTGATTTATTCAAGGGTAAACCGTTTATAATTTTCTCAATCTCTTTGGGTGAAATTGGTACCGAGAGGGAGTCTAGTTGGGAAGTGGAGAGTTGAGGAAGAGCTGTGTGACTTAGAAAGTTTTTGATGGAGGGATTTGTTGGTTGTATCGTATCTGGGTCATCTTTTATGTTATATAAAGTTTGGTAGTAACATGCAAATGCGTTAGCTATGTCTTGTGGGTTCGACATTGGGGTTCTCGACTCTGGATGTTGGACTATGGAGATTTTATTTTTAAGTCTTTTTTGTTTGATGGTTTTGGCGAGAAGGGAGTTTGTTTTATTACTAAGTGCATAGAATTGTGTGTTTTTGTTTTTTGAAGGTTCGTGTCATAGGAATGTAGTAAAATGGCACGTAATTTATTTCTATCTCTATTTAGGGCCGCGGATGAGGAAGAATTCGGATTCTGTTTGTTAATTTCTTCGTTTGCATGTATAGAGGCCAGTATTTGGTCTATTTGTTGGGATCTCTGTTTTTTAATACGGGAATTTAGTTGAATGAGGATACCTTTCATGTAGGCTTTGTATGTAAGCCAGAGTGTGGTGATAGAGATATCTGGGGTGTCATTAGTTTCAAAAAAGAGATTATGGGCATCCATTATATACTTCTGGTTTTCTGGTGATTTCAAGAGTGCGGAATTAAGTCTCCATATGGGTGGTATTGCTGACCGTTGGCTGTCATCTAGGGAAATGCTGATCGGGGCATGATCAGACCAGGTTATAATACCAATCGTAGAGGATGACACGTGTTGCAGTGTCCATTTATCAGTGATGAACATATCGATTCTTGAGTACGAAAGGTGTGGCGGTGTAAAATAGGTGTAGTCTCTTTCAGAGCCATGCTGGCATCTCCAGATGTCGTATAGGTCGTAGTCATGTAAAAACGTGGTTGAGGTCAAGGCTG